TGGACTAGATGGGCCACTGGTCTGATCCAGCAGGGCTCTTCTTATATTCTAAGGAAGGCCTCAGCCTCTATGCCCTGTTGTTGAACCTTCAGAGGACCTGGTTGGCCACTGTGTGAGACAGGATGTTGGACTAGATGGATCACTCATCTGATGGACTGAAAATGGACTGTATGGCATTATACCACACTGAAATCCCTCGGAGCTGGTCACAACACAGTTTAAAAAGTTGCTTCCTTAGACTGAATGAAGTTTATTGGAGAAGATTAAAAAGTGTACTGTCTCCACGATTGTGTTAAGGCAGTTCACCTTACTTTCTGATGCTTGGTTATGCCATGCAGGTACTATACGTTGGTCACATCATCTGTGGTGTGGTCGCAGAGACCTATGAGCTTGCAAAGGAGGCCACCAAAAAAGTGAAGATAGAGTATGAAGATCTGGAAGTGATTCTGACAATTGAGGTAAAAAATCATTGTTACTTACTGTTATTGTTACCGAACTGCTTTTACTTATATTTATTGTATTTATGTAAGTTGTTTTATGGACTAATGTTTTATCTATGTTGGTTTTATTAATGTTGTGAGCCGCCCTGAGCCGCTTCAGCGGAAGGGCGGGATAAAAGTTGAATGAATAAATAAATAAATATTTAAATATATTGCTATGGAATTATGACATGACCAAAGGCAGAAAAGACCAATGAACTGTCCATTCAAGGAGATAACACCCATGTAACCTTTTTACCGTTGGGATGTGAATTTGCTAAGAGGCCTTGGACTCCACTTAATACAAAATAGCATTTTGATTTGTGCATGGTCTACAGTGGTCACTCCAACAATGCTAAGGGCAAGAGAGAATTGTCTTCCTTGAGTAAGTTCACACAGCTATGGTTCTTGACTCACGCTCTCGCCACGGTCCTATACCAGAAGCGTTTCTCAATACTAATGTTCTCCAGTCTGAGCGTCCTGACTTACTAAGAAACACAGAACATTCAGCGCCCATAGCATACCCTCATATCAAAGAGTGTGGATATCTTCTGATGTTTGAGGATGGCCAATTTGCTTATTGTTCATCAGCCGGTGGGTTATTTCCTTGTCGATACAGCCTATTGGAGACTGCCCTTTGAAAACCAGGGATTTGATTAATGGTTCAGTCCACGTTAAGCATGATTCAGCTCCTTAGCACAGGGATCCTCAGTGGCTTGTAAACCACACGGCTCTTTTGACATTCTGCCCTGTGGCAATTCTGAGCACCATTCCCTAAGCAGGGTTGCCATCCTCCAGGTGGGGCCTGGAGATCTCCCGGAATTACAACTGATCTCCGGACTGCAGAGATCAGTTCCCTTGGAGAAAATGGTTGCCTTAGAGTGTGAACTCTATGGTATTATACGCCTCTGTAAGGATGGACACGAACTGGCTCATGAGCCAAAATTCAGCATTAACTTGGAACGGTTCACCTTCCCCGAACATTTACCAGACTTTTGTCCAGTTCAGTTTGGCTGTTTGGGCCATTTAAACCTAACAGCTGAGTGGCGGGGGTCCACAGATGACCTGTTATGTTTAAATGGCTGCAAGCCATTTCAGTCTAACAGCTGACAGGTGCGCACACACACACACACCGCTATTAGGCTGAAATGGCTACCAGCCATTTAAACCTAACAGTAGGGTGGGTCTGCCCATCAGATGTTTGGTTTAAATGACTGCGAAACATTAAACCCATCAGTTTTTCTCCCCCCTGTTTCAAAGCGGGGTGAAGCAGAAGAGATGGGACCCTTCCTGGGTGACCCCCCCCTCTTCCCAGCCACAATAAGCCACGGCCAGGAGAAAGAGGGATCTGAACTGGCCGGTTCAATTTGGGGCACTTTGGCTTGGTTCGGTTCCGGGTTTGGTTCGGGGGCAGTCCTGAACCTCGAACTGGAATTTTTAGGTTCATGCCCATCCCTACCCCACTGAAGTCTCTATCTTCCCCAAACCCTGCCCTCCCTGGGCTCCACCCGCAAATCTCCAGGAATTTCCCAACCTGGAGTTATCAACCCTACTAATATGGTGCCTGCCCCATGTTTCAAGAAAGTGGGCAAGACCCTTGCCCAATGAGGTTCGTGGTTGGCAGTTTGATTCTCACCTTGAAACAGCTGTCGCCAGAGGAAAAAGTAAGCTGTGTGCCTTCCTGAGGTGCAGCCTCATGCCAAACATGAAAGTAAATGTGGTTCTTTTGATTGATGGTAATTGTGAACGTGGCTCTCTGTGAGCCACAGTGGGAGTACCACTACCATGGTTTAAGTTAAACTCTTTGTGGTTGTACTAGGAAAAACTCCACATATCTTGAAGAACCACAACATGAAGAGAGCAATGTTGTTGTCATGTTTTCGATTATCTTCTGGGATGGAATATCATATTCTCACCTTTATCTCAGGATTCCATTCGGCATAATTCATATTTCTTAGAAGAAAAGAAAATTGAACAAGGAAATGTTGAAGAAGCATTTCAGACAGTTGACAGAATTATTGAAGGTAAAGTCCTGAATGGGATCTTAGTGGTGTTCCTGAGCTCCTAAGAGGTCATATCCATTCAGATGGTAATTATTTAGTGCACAGGAGCTCATCTCTGGAAGATCAGTAGACTTTCTGGTTATCATTTGATAACAGCTCACGTTACACAAAAAGATATTTATGTGAATTCAACCTCAGTTGGTCTGTTCCAATACCCTCTGGCTGCAGGTTTTCATTTTAAAAAAATAACCTATTCCTGGCTGTCCCTTGATATCCCTCAAAGTAATCTTTGCATGGTTCTTCTCTCAGTCCCCCTATAAGAAGAGCCCTGCTGAATCAGACCAGTGGTCCATCTAGCCCAGCATCCTCTCACACAGGGGCCAACCAGTTCCTCTGGATGGCCAACAACAGGTCATAAAGGCCTAGGCCTTCCTAAGTGCATAAGAAGACCTCTCCTGAATCAGACCAGTGGTCCATCTAGTCCAGCATCCTGTCTCATGCAGTGGCCAACCAGTTCCTCTGGAGGGCCAACAACAGGGCATAGTGGTCGAGGCCTTCATAAGAACATAAGAAGAGCCCTGCTGGATCAGACCAGTGGTCCATCTAGTCCAGCATCCTGTCTCACGCAGTGGCCAACCAGTTCCTCTGGATGGCCAACAACAGGTCATAGAGGCTGAGGCCTTCCCCTGATGTTGCCTCCTGGCTCAGGGATTCAGAGGATTAGTGCCTCTGAATGTGGAAGCTCCCCTCAGTCACCATGACTAGTAGCCATTGATAAAGTTCTCTTCCATGAATCTATCTAACCCCCTTTTAAAGCTCTTTATTCCTGTGACCAGGGGTCGTTTCGTAGAAAAAGAGCTAGGGGAACTCATTAGCATAACTCATTAGCATACGCCACACCCCCTGGCATCAGGGGCCTGGCGGTGGACCTGCAAGGCCAGCGGGAGTGCGAGGAAGCCCCGCCAAGGCCCTCCCTGGCTCCAGGCAGGCAGGGGTGGGGAGAGGCGGGGAGAAAGCAACTTACCCTCCCTCTTCTCCTGCCTCCTCCTGGCTGAATGAGGGCTGGAAGCAGG